CCGCCTCGGCACTAATCCCTCGAACTGCAAATCCTGATAAAAAGAAGGATTAAAGTAAGTTCAAGAAAAAGTAATATATAAAAAAAACTCTCTTACCATGAGTTTTCACTTTCCAACCAAATCGTTGGGAAAGAGTCTTCCAAGATCTACCCTCCATTGGGGCAGTATTCAACAGCTTTCCTACCCAACCACGAAAATTGGGAATATTATCAACAATTTCCATGGTTGCTGGAAAAGAAAAGGAAAATTAGGATAATAATCATCAAAATTGAAGGGAAAAAAAAGGTACGAGAGAGTTATAAAAAAAAACTCCCGTGCAAAATTCCACTTCTCAGGGAAGGGAACATTCTCATCACCCACTAAACCAACAGTGGGGGCAGCAACAAACCTGGCATACCAGCCACGGTCTTTGTCATCTTCAGGATCGACCAAAACTCTTTTACTCCTTGCAACTAAGGTAAAAACACCTTGGCGAAAGAGTCTGGGGCATAAAGGTGAATTAGATGAGAAAAGGTGAAAGGCATGCCTGCCATGTTAGATAAATGCCTTAAACAGGCCACAACCCTACATACTAGAGGGCCAATTTGACCTAAACAAACGTCAAAAAAATGACAAAATTCAAGGATAACAGGATCAATAGCAGGTTTGAAACCTAGTGTGAAAGGGTATGTATAAACAAAAGAAAACCCAATTAAATAAGAAGTAATTCTCTGGTTTGCATTGGGGATTATAATAGGGAAGTCATGACTCCAATGGCATTCTTTGCGAACCAAAGTAATCAGACCCTCAATAATCTGAGTGGGGTAGATATCAGCATGATCTAAAGAAGGCACTTGATTTCTAAGGGATTCTCTATCATTATAGAAAGATAGTTCCGCAGGAACTATTTCCTCTATTGAAGGCTCACGAAGAGGTTCAGAAGGTTCCTTACCCCTAGAAGAAGATCTTTGAGAAAGAGAACCTTTGGTTCTAGAAGAAGGACTGGAACTAGATGAAGGAAGAGAAGAACTACGTATGGATGAAGACCCTAAATTACGTAGTCTACCTCCTCTTCTGCTCCTACTAGGGGCAGGAGGAAGGTTATCAACAATGGAAACTCGTCTAGGGTTAGCGTTTGAAATTTATGTGAGAAAGACAAAGATGAGAACTATATTTATATTAAGAAGCAACCGTCAAAGGAAAATGTACAGTGGGAACTGTCGCTTCGTAATTGGTGAAGCCGTAAAAGAGCCTTAAAAAGCACTGCAAAGTCGCAGAACCAACAAAAAGGTGCCACGTTTAACAAGCATTAAATGGAAGTGACAACTGAAGCATCGATTCTATCATAGCATTAATAACGACAAATATTCTTGCTTTAATAAAATCCACTCCCCAAATATTCAATTGATGAATAAATGGCAAGTGAGGGGACTATCTATATCGGGAAAAATTGAGTTTACATATTGAAGTGATTGAAAGATGACGTGTCATGACATGAAGGCTGGTCAAAGAGTGATAATTAGCAAAGAGGCACAAGTTGCAACAGGGACGAGCAGGGCTACAAGCAGAGGCACGAGCAGATATTCAAAAGATCGATGCTCGTACCTATTTAAATCTAAAAGTTAAGGAGAATGAATCTGACAGCACAAGAGAGTACAGATACAGTATTTAATAAGCATTAAATACTGAAAACGTTAGAGAATCTGTATTAAATTACAATGATTATGTAACGTAGCATTTAATGCCTTTAATTGACTATAATTACCTTATTATGACAAAGGCAAAACGTATATCTTAGAGGTAGCTATAAAAAGGAGAAGACTAGTCATTTGTAAGGACACGAAAAATCAACTGAATATACTGGATTACTTTATTTTCTGCTATCTATTTGTTATCAAAATCAATTTCTTTTATTCATTTTCGATTATCAGTAACCCGAGTTCTTCTAAAAATAAAGCTTTGACTGAAATTTTATTTTTTGGTTAAACAATATATATACACTATATGTTATTATAGGAAACAATAACGGTGTAATTTAGCTATTTTATTGTTGTATACTATTAAGGTATATACAAAAGAGATTTTTACATTCCTATGCCACATAGGAAACCTTATTACCCTCAATGTTTAAGGTTTGACTTAATTACACTTAGTATACCAAATTACCAATTCTATATCATAGTGTATTTTAACCTAAAAAGCTAGCATCCTCACCTTGAGCAGTTTTTGTTAACATATTAAAATATGTCACCTAATTGAGTCCAGCTCATAAATTTTTCAAAATTCAACAAATTGTGCCGTAATAGCATGCAAATATATCACGCAGTTTCAAAACGAATCATGTGGTGATTTCTGAAGTAAGTTATTTATCTTATTATGTTATTATTAATCAAAGATTTCTTATATAGCTAGAACGACCCTCACAAATTGCGAATACTAATTTTATTTGATTAACAGTATTTCAAAAGATACAACCATATAGAAAATCTTGATTTCTCCATAATCGATAATGGCATACTACAAGTTGAAGTTTTTATTTAATTTGTTTCTTTATTTAATTACATATTAATATTCCCACTATGGATTATTAATTATCAGTTTATCTTTTAGTCTAAAGTCATAAAGTAAAAGAACCACAACATTAGTGTATCAACTAAATCTTCTTGACAACAATTGAAGAATGTAAAAATTCCTATGTGGCATAGGAATGTAAAAATGCATTTACAATTGAAAACAATGCATCTACAATCAGAATACAAATAATCCACAATTCATCTACAAAATGTCTACAAACTGGGTATATTGAATTTTAATATCCCAATTCCCTTTCGATTGTAGTTTAATTGGGATTTTCGACATAATTGCGTTTTTTGCAGAAGATTTGTAGAAGTTTTAGTCGTTTTTGATTTGTGAAAACAGAAAACAAAGCATCTACAATTAGAATACAAATAATCTATAATTTATCTACAAAATATCTACAAACTGGGTACATTGAATTTTTAATATCCCAATTCCCATTCAATTGTAGCATAATTGGGATTTTAGACATAATTGCGTTTTTCCAGAAGATTTGTAGAAGTTTTAGCCGTTTTTTATTTGTGAAAACAGAAAATAAAGCATCTACAATCAGAATACAAATAATCTACAATTTATCTACAATTTCTGCAATATGTCTTCTTCTTCTTCTTCGAGTTTCAATCTGAAATTCAGTCAAAACCAACTCTAATCTTCACCAAAACCCCTCAAAATTGAGATATAAACTCCAAACCATATTCCCGATTATTTTCAACAACACCCAATCCAAACAAATAATGATTTTTGAAAACCCAAATTTGAATTCAAAGCTTTCAAGCTTTTTAATGGCTGTCAATGGTGGAAAATATCTGGATGAATATTTACTTCCATAATTGTAGCGCGCCTAAATAGGAATATCTGGAAGAATATTTAGTTCCAGATTTGTAGCGCGCCTAATTAGGAAGGAATCATCTCCTAATAATTGGTATTTAATGAATGGTATATATTTTGTAGAATAACTGTGAACATGGCAGGTAAATATGAAACTATGCACATTTTTGATAAGAAGGTTTCATATATGGTATAGGAAGAAAAAAGTCTCTATACAAAATTGTGTAGCTCAATAATAGACAACGAACATAAGTACAACCATGTAATTTTTTAAGAAGCAATTTTGTTAATTAGATACATGCGAATAAATATTTTGTTTAAATAATCATGAAAAAACTACCAAACTTTTAAATAACAAACTAACAGCAAATATTGATGTACCACCAAACGATGTGGTGCAGCGGATAAAGCTGCTTTTCCCTTAATCAGAGGTCTCGGATTCGAACTCTGGGTATGGAAAAATTCTTGGTAGTGAGCGTTTCCTCCCGAATGGGCCCTATGCGATGTGAATTCGAATATAGTTGGACTCCATTACAAGTACCGGACACCGGGTGGGAAAACGGGTGAAAAAAACAAAAAAAATATTGATGTTACATATTGCCATTGGCGACTCAGAAAATGATTAAGTGCAGTGACCAAAACGAATTAGAAATGACAAGGAATGGATTAGTAAAACAACTGAATGAAAAAGACATTTCATTCTGTTGGCCAATAAAAGAAATGGTTGGTATCTTTTTCTGTTAACGAAAATGTTTAGTCTAACTCAACTAAAAAGCTATCTCATGAGATAAGAATTACTTAAAATATTTATTAATTAAGTCTCACTCGATGTGAGATTCAACACCCTCGTTGATGCTAACATTGGGTAAATTGGAATGAATCTGAGTTCCGATATCATATTAAAAAAATAAACTTTAATTCTAACTCAACTTTAAAAATTAGCTGACGGAGATTTTCAAGATCATACAAGAAGACACATTTGTTAATTCCCACCCGACGTGGGACTCAATATTTTCAGATAATAAAAAGGTTATATATTGACAGACACAAATACTAGAAACAATAAAAGAAATAATTAGAGCTATACCTTGACTTCTGAAAAGTAGAAGAGAAGTGCAGAAAGTAATTTCACCAATTCGCTATTCTGACGGTTATACCTGTGGAAGAGACAAAGTAAGAAAAACATTCAATTTTTTATTTATTTCCCTACACTTTCGATAATTTGATTCATTCATATGTATATCATATCACCGATATAATGAAAACCTAACACAAATATATACCTCTCTATTTCAGGACCAACTACTAGAAACCATAATATAAATGGAAATCATATACAAAAGGATTTTATCTGATTTTCAATATAGGTGGTTTGAATATTGAGTAAAGTAGGCTTATAATAAATTCAACAAGAAATACGCTACTTGTACTATAAAAATGGACAAGTAAACCCATATAATAAAAATGTTACACAAATATTAATTTGTAAAATATTTCCATTATATAAGTTGTTTTGAAATATAAATATTATGTTCATAACTACTAGCTGAAGTCAATAATTAAAAGGTACTCATAGAAAGATAAAGGAATAACAGAAGTAAAGAAAGAAAGAAAAAAGAAGTTGAGACGGCTTTTCATAGGACAATAGTCATAGAAATTGGGTTGTTGTCTTTTTCATTCTTACACTTGTGGTTTCTCTTTCTCTACTTGCTTTCACTGTAAGTTTCGCCCTTCTTTGCTCCTGTCCCTTTATTTTTGGTATTTAAACTACAAGTTTTTTTCTTGGGATTGTTCACTAGTGTGTGTGTATGCCAAATGACATACATTGATTTTCCTTTTGAATTTGTTTATTAAAGTAACAGAACCCCCAAAGAAGGCTCACTGACTTTGGTGGAAAACGCCCAAAGAGTAGTACGAGCATGTTCAACTTTTAAAGAGTTTATAGTGTATTTGGAAGTATCAGTAAAGAGTCCCGATACCTATGTCATACCCATCTGGGCGCTGTAGGCAATGAAGAGTTTGTTTAAGTACAGACATACACGCATATAAATATGTATATGTGTATGTATGTATGTATACACACGAGTTCTTGAATTCTAATTTTTTATGGACATTGATTATTCCTTTTGCTTACTAATCGTTGGATTTTTCAGCAGTATACTGGCATGAAGTTTAATGAATCTCTGTGTCTCTGAATTATATTGGGGTGAAAGAGCAGTGGTTTTGTTGTTCTGGGCTGTTCGTTTGTTGGAACTGAATTCCATTGTAAATGGGGCGGCCAGGATTGAGGAGCTGTGGTGTCTCGGCGGAGTATTTGTGTGAACAGCCGAAATTAGATATTAGTGATAATATTCGTCTAGTGCAACATATTTCAAGATCACAGAATGTTGATGAAAATTATGCCGAGTTTTTAAAGTTTCTCTACAACTATGATATAAATTCTAAGTCATACACAAATGAACATGGAAATTATGGCAGCGCTGATGCAGTTGAGGATGAGGATGAGGATGAAGCTGACCCGCAGTACAAGATGTTTTTGGCTAATGCTAAGCCTGATGGAAAGTCATATGTGCTTAAAGTTGATTCAGAGGATGGCGTTCCTGTGTTCATAAAGTATGAAAAAGAGTGTGGGTGTAATCATGGGTGTGAATGTTTGCATCGAAAAAAACAGAAGGATATGGAGATGCAAAAGGATGCCGCGGATGAGAAAAACTTGCTAAGTAGCAATAAATCCATGGGAGACGTGGATGCGATATTTGAGCCTGTCGATCCTATTTCTCAGAGGAAAATTGGGATTGTGAGCCGGAAGTGTAGCACGGGAAAACATGGTGCATCCAGGAGGCAGGGCAAATCCGAGACTAAGATAAAGTCAGGTAAGGAGAAGATGATGGAAAAAGGGAGTAGACCAGTTAATGTTACAGGCAAAGAAGAAGCATCCGATGTAGATGAAGATTATAGGTTACTCATGGAAAATCTTCAATGTAAGAATTGGGGCTTGAAAGCCTCGTTAAGAAGCGGTACTGTTATTGAATATGAAGCCGTGGAAGATGACGTCGAAATCCTTTACAACAATGGTGGTACACTCAACAAGGTAGGAAGGTTTAACCTTACAGTTTCTTTAAGAAAACACCACGAGAGTATGTTCTTCCGACCTTTGTTTCTCCTCCCTATTCTCTCTTTCGCCTTTACCTGCTCGGTTTCAAGTTTCTGGAAATAGTTCCTCATGATACTTGTATTTTTAAATGAGCTTCAATGAATACTAAGATCGAGGATACATATCCACAGATAAATGTGCGGTCTAAGTTCAGGCAGAAAGTCATGGATCTTCTGAAGAAGCCTTACAATCAAAATGAGTACGAAGAACTATGGACTGATGTTAATGCTAAAAAACCAGTGCTAAAGCATATGGACTTGCGTAATGGGAAAGTGAAGTTTTATGGGACACAGAAAATGGGAAAGTCATATCTGGATCACCATGAAGGTAAGGTCAACATCCTGTAAGTTAGCTTTTCATCGTCTCAATAGTATGATTTCCAGTATTTTCAAAGTTTCGGTACCACTGCACCTCGCGTGGTTTCTGCTGCATATGTCAGTTCAGGTGAATTCTATATCCTCTCAAACGTTAGTAAATATTTGGATAATGGTTGTCATCTGTCATTGAACTCAAATGGCTTGGAGTAACTTCCTTTGTTTATCTAAAACACTTTACATTTGTAGTCTCTGATCTCATCTTTGGATGTCTTGCTAGTTTCTGTAAGGTATGGTGTCAATGCAAAAGAATAGTACAAAATGTTGTAAGATGTCACCATAGTATAAAGGATGACAAATCCAAAAAGATTTAATGGAATTCTGTTCATTTATACCATCCGCAGGCCATAGCATAATTAGGTTGATTATTGACTAGTTGCTCCAGGGAAGGTGTGAAAACTTTCATTGTATTGTTTCATGCTTTTCTATTGGATGTTTTTACAACCTTCCAAATTTAATATTAACTGATGTGGAAGATTTTCCTTTTCTTACTTTTGCAATTTTGATGTATTCAGATCAATGCCAATCATCGCCTTGATCTTACTTTTTATGGGCTCTTTCTCTCTGAGTTCTCTGCAGTTTCGGCACTATGAAGTCATTCAAACTTTATGCTTCTTGAGTTTCACTTTAATTTCACTGTACTGTCGCTACATAATAGAACATCTTTCAAATTATACTTGCAGACCTTCAAAAAAGACTTAAAGAAGTTGATAATGATAATAGGAAAAAGTTGAAGATCTTGCGTGGCTTTTTCTTTTGGTTACAGGTGAGTGGTTCATCTCAGCACAATTAGTGAAGAATACATTGATGTTTTCCTTTTGGCTTGGGTTCTTGATATACCTACATCTATCTGTTGCTAATCAATGAAAGAAGGTTGTTGGTCAAAAGATATTATTATATGGATGTATGTTTTAAATTCAAGGTTTAACGCTATCTCGAGACCTTAAAGTTGCTAGTTAGAATTTGAATTCTGGATAAAAAAAGTACTAACATTGTAATCCTTTTATTAACAACATTAACAAATGAATGATGAGGTTTATGAAATCAGCAAGTACCTAATTGCCTCACCTTATGAAAAGTAACAATGTTTCAGTTTAAACTCTTGTTTGGGCTAATTTCCTATGCATTTTCACTAAACTAGGTAATGATTACATTGATGACAAATTCAGAACTAGCAAAAAACATAAAACGCTTTACCATGTGTCGTGCTTCTGTAGCCAATGCCAGCCCATGATTTTTCTTTATTATAAATAATTAGAACTAAGTTTCAGAGAAACATCCAATGTGTTAATATGAGAAGACAAAACACCATTGCCCTTTTGCATCTTGTCCTAGTTCTGCGGTGACCTATGTTTAAACTTTCAAGTGATTCACGTGATCAGAAAATTTGGGTAATTGAAACCTTCGTTCCGTTGAAGCTTCAGAAGAATGAAGTTGTTGTATTATTGTTGTATTCATACACAGGTTGAATATAAGGGTTATGTGTTGCTTGAGTGTTGATCCCATTTGACTAGTAAAAGTAGTTTCAGGATGAGTGATCGACGATATAAATCCCATGCTTGAATTTCAATAATCATTGTAACCATCATATAGCAACCTGATTTTCACTATGCTCTATTTGTTGCATGCTAATTTTTTCACTGACAAATTTACTCGTGTATTTTCTCATTTGGTGGTTGCTAGAATCTCACCAACAAGGAATCATTCATACCTTGGAAAGACGCTGAGTTTCTTTCGGGGGTGGCTGAATCCAGCTAGAAGTGATGCACCTGCAGTCTTACTTTTTTGCAATTAATCACACGAAGACATCCACTGAAACATGTCTATAAAGTATGTCATGGTGAAGATTGAAATTATGCACTGCATTTTATATGAAGTACATATATTATACAGGCAAGCCAGCCTAGCAGTGGAACATCTTGTGAATTCTCGGCATGGCTTTGGAATTTTTTTGTGATCTTCTAAGTTCTGGGGATTTTTGTACGTCTCAAACAAGGATGTAAAAGGAGTTGATGTCAATATGCATGCAAAAGTAAGTATCTTCATCCACTTCTGTCTTTTACCATTTATCCCAATATGCAGATTTTAGCTTTTTATTTGGACTACTTGAATTGTCCTATTTCCTTTGTAAGGTGCAAAGGAGAACAGTGGGAGTGGGGTTTGCAGGGAAAAAAAAAGAACAAAAATGAGGTGACTAACAAAGAAAGATTCAGGATTTTGAAGTTTATGGGTTTCTACAACGATCTCAAATTTAAAAAGAAAAGACGGCTCGGTGCACTAAGCTCCCGCTATGCGTGGGGTTCGTGGGGTTCGGGGAAGGGTTGGACCACAAGGGTCTATTGTACGCAGCCTTACCTTGCATTTTTGTAAGAGGGTGTTTCCACGGCTTGAATCCGTGACCTTCTGGTCACATGGCAGCAACTTTACTAGTTATGACAACTCCCCTTCTACAACGATCTCTAGTTAATTGGCAATAATTACTAGGTTTACAGACAAATAAATGTAGATACTTTAATGCATATCTCAAATCACTACAACTAGGGGTGTACATAGGCTGGGTTGGTTCAAGTTTTTCAATTACCAAATCAAACCAATTGTGTCGGGTTTTTAAATCTAAAGACCAAACCAAACTAACAAAAGTCAGATTTTTCAATTTCGGGTTTTCTCGGATTTTCGGTTTTTTCGGATTTTTTGCCGGTAAAGTCTTCATAGCACAAAACATATAACTTTTGCCGCAAATATTTCTTTACTCCTAGTAAGATACATCTATATGTTGATACCTAATTTTTTTCTATATTTTTTATACGCATAAATACTTTCAAAATAGCATATATATGCATATATAAGCACGCACAAGGGTTTTATAATTTTTTTCTATAATTTTAAAGATTTAAATTGATTCATTTCCTCCCCTTTTTACTCATGAAATCCCCAGTAATTATCCCTCAAATTATTGTTGTAGTAATTTAGTTATCTAAATCCTATATTTATGCCAAAATATTGCTTAAGTATTTTTAGTGCGTTTTTTATAATTGCATTTGCATTTTTTAAATCTAATTTGCATATAATTGCAATGTTAGCCCTATTAATGTATAATTATATTTGTATGCATAAAATTGACCTTCTATATTTTTGAAATGTTGAAAATCTATTTTAAATCATTTTAGTACATGAAATTATTTTGTAGAAATTGTTTACAATTTATTATAAATTATATAGGGATAAATTGGCTATTTAAAATATAGCCAGATTGCATTTCAATCTTAGCCCTAATTTTTAACCCAACCCCAGCCCAATTTCTAATCAAATTACCCGACCCAAACCCTAAACCCGCTTACCCAACCCAGAACCAATTAAATCACGGTCGTTGATCTGAGAGATCAACGACCCGTAGTAACCCTTTCCTTTTTTAATCCTAAACGACCCTAACCCTAACTCATTCTCCCAAACCCGCCGCTTCTGTATTCTCTCATCTCCTCTCCTCTCTCAGTAACTCGACCAAACCCTAGCCCCTTCAACCGCCGACCTCTCTTCTCCGGTCTTCTCCGGTAATCTCCCATCAACTCCTAAGCCTCCAAAGGCTTCTCTCATGGCATGCTTGCCTTCTCTAAGGTCTTCAAGGGCCCAAAGCCATGCCGACTTGCATCTAGGGTTCTTCACTTGTCTGTTCTTGGCTACTCCAGTGTGATTTTGAGCAAAATCATGCTATATTTGTTACGATCTTTGGGATTCTAGATAGGTTCTTTCATCTCTATATGGGTTCCTCTGAAACCCTAATTCCTGCCTATATCTCCTAGATCTGTACAGATCTAGAACGATTTGAGTTTGTTTCTTTAATGTTTTACACTGTCCTTGGAACTCTTTTACAAGAATCGTTGAATTCAAGTGTTTTTCACCTTTTTCTAAAAATTAGGATTTCGGAACTTCTTTTAAAACTTTGTTTAACTGATTCTTTGTGTTTAATTTCTTATATTATTTTTACTGATTCTATGAGTTTATCACATCTTTAACTCGTCTATGTTGAAAGCCCTAATTTTCTAAGTTTCTTCGTTTGATTTTTGTAACTGGCTTGTTCTTGTTTGAGTTTCTGTGACTATCTTGCCTTGAATATGTTCTTACCGAGTTTTTAGCCTAACTTATATCACCTTTATATGCTTGTGCTCATCTTGATTGTTCAAGACTTGCCTCTTTCTATCAGTGTTGTTTAACCTTCGTGTTTGCTATGTCTGGTTATTCTTATGTTACTCTATTTATATGCTGAATAATGACTTGTGACCTTCTCTTTGATTGATTCTGAATTCCTTGTTTCTGGGTTTTGACTTGAACACTTTCCTTTCTACTCAATTTGATTGATTCACCTACCATGACTGCATTGGTATTTTATTTCTACTGACTATCTCCTTAATTAGAGTTTTCTGAACTTAGCCCTAATTGTTTACCCTCTACTTACTGAATTTGAAATCTTTCCTTATTGATCGTACATTGATTTCTTCCCTTATTTGTTACTTGTCCTTACCATTTGAACTAATTCCCTTAAATTATGGGAGTGCTTGTACTGATTGTGCTCTAATTGATTCTGAGTTCCATAATTACTATAGTATTATGATTCTTGCCTTATTTTTACCTAGTTTCGAACTACTATATATACACACTCTCCCATTAACACAAACACGAACACATTGGTTCAAAACTCTCTATCACACAAAAATACTCTTCTGCTCTCTTTTCTCTGGTTGCTTGCTCTTGTTCTAAGTAAGCCGGCTGCAAGCCAAGGCTGATTACTCTACTCTCTTGCTCTTCACTTTGTGTTTACTACCTTCTTTATTGGTATGTTCTGATTTCAATTCAAGTTTCAAAAACAATATGGTCCTTTTATTACTTCAATTCATCCTGTTTCTAGTCTGCTTTTACTTATGATTTTGCTGTGAAACCTGTAGTTGATATGTTTACATTATTAGCATGTTATCTACTCCCTTCCTTAGGATCAGAATGAACATGTTACCCCCCTCTATGTGGTCTATCTCCATGTGATCTTGCTCTATCTGGTTTCTGGTATGAATCTCTTTGTAATGTAGTCTGCACTCCTAAATTGGTATGATTTTTGGACTGATTTTAAGTTATGTTGATCCTATACTGAACCCCTTATGCATTGTTGATTCTGTGACTATGTCTAATCAGTGTTTCTGAGCATATCTGTACCAATTCCAAAGACTTATGACTGCTATGTGTTCACCTATGTGACCTATGTGTCCCAAATCCCATTACCCCTATTTGTGGTTGCTGAATCTGCCTTGGTCATATGTTCCTTTGTTATGTATGAACCTGTTTTGGGTACTGTGTTTGGACTGTTGCTTGTTACTCTACTCTCTTTTCAAAACTATCTCTGTTGTTTTTACAAAACTATTTCAATCAAGTCTGTCTTAACACTGTTTTCTTACTAAAACCCTTTCAAAACTATGTCAAGCACTCTCACTTTGTTCCTAAGCCCTAGGTTCTGCCCCCTCTAGTGTGTGTACTGCCTTGGGATCCTTTTGAGAACCCTCTAAACTCTGGCACACTGAGGCTGGCCCTTCCACACTGCACTTACTCAATTTGGTTACCAAGTCTAGGTGTGAGTACTGCCCGGGATCCTTGAGATCCTTAGGGAACTCTGACGCACCTAGACAATGATATTGTCTGTGAAATTGGCATGTGAGGCTTTTGGAGGTTTGGGAAAATCATCAGGGCCTATTTTCAGGTTCTCTATAGTGTAACTTCTTATTTTCTTTTTCTACTTATGTAATTCATCTCAATACTGGTTTGTAATAATTATTGTAAACGATATTGGGGTTGGCTAGTGAAAAGGGGAGGGTAGTTATATATGTTATCAATATCAATGGGTAGGAACCATGCCTTAGGTTTACATTTCCTATATGCGCATTAGAATCCATGTCTAGGACCAATACATTCCAAGCATGTCATGCATTAGATATCATGTTCTTAGGTTTACTGTTTCAGCATCTCATTTGACATTATTTTATCACTTAAAAATCCTGCTTTAGGCTAAATAACAGCATTAACATAAAGCTGTTGCTCCTGCACATCCTGAAATCATGCTGTAACTTTCTGGGCATTTAGAAATCCTGCTTTAGGAATTTTGCATATAAACCATTCTGCATTTTATGTGCATATTAGATACCCTGTTTTTAGGATCACGCTCACACTCGCTCAGTCACACCTAGTTGAACTACTGACGCATGGGGAAAAAAGGACATAAAAACAGTCTCGCGTTTGATTATCCTGCTTAAGTAAAATCGGTCATAATCCTGTATATCTTTGCAACACGTAGAACAACATGCTTTAGGTAAAATATCTTCTAAACAGTTTTAATAACTCTAATAATTGTTGTGCGTCACCCTACGCCTAGGCAAGCCTTAGGTAATCAAATCTCTTATAAAACTGGAAACTGCCTCTTTGTGTTTACTGCTTAATGTCGTTCTAACAGGCATAAAAATCGGTAGGCAAATTGATAGGGCTCCTACTCCTGAGTTTATAAACTACATGTCTCGTGTGTTCTGATATTTGCTTAGATATCATGTCCTAGGATACTGATTAACAATATGGCCTTTATTTGTGTTTGAGTCGTGCTGTTTCACGTGCATTATCTGTGGAGGGGAACTTGAGCCCTTATCTGCTATTTCATGCTTTTATTTGCCAAAGTCCTATGTGTTCTTGCTTGTCGCCTTAGTATTTTCTCCTTAAAACCTTAAGGGTCCGTCTAGAACCACCTATAGGTAGAGGTCCTAAATTTCCTCCAGGATCATTAAGAAGGGACGGATACCAGCACGCAATAGAGATCGCTACCCAACACTCGCGTTAATAACCATTAAGGGGTGGGAAGGGTAGATATGGATATGATGACCGGTGTGTTAATGCCACGCGTAGCCCCTTTCTAAGGAGTGATTACCGGGCATTGTACTGATGTGATCCTATAGGCTAACCAACCTAGGACCACTCTCTCCCAAATCCTCTTTTACTTGAAAACTTTACTTTCCTTTTTTTATGCACAC